CCCCGGGCCCCGCGGTCCGAGAGGAGGCAGCGCCGGGCAGGGGTGGGCGAGCTCCCCGGCACCAGCCCGGAGCTGGGAGCGGCTGACGCAGGCTTGAGTCACCGGGCGACGCGCGTCAGTGGGAAGCGCGGGCAGGGTCCCGGGCGCTGCGGAGCCGGGCGGCGGGGGCACAGCCTCGGTGTGAGCGGCTCCAGCACCTCCTGCTGCTCCCTCTGGGCCAGGGGCAGGTGGCGGAGCAAGGTATTTGGGCTTGGCACGCCGCCACAAGGAGGCTTGGGCCCCTCGTGGCCCCCCGAGCCATGCTGACCGCTGCTGTGGACCAGCACCCCGGGGCGATGCTGGCGAGGTGCCACCCGCCACGAGCTCTTCACGGGAGAAACTGAGATTTTGACTGGGGCAGCTGGGGGGCACCCAGGCACCCGCAGCGTTAAAAACATCCCCTGAGTTACAGAGAAGTCAGGCTGGAAGGGCCCTCTAGATCCTGAGGCAGGGTCATCCCTACCCGACCCACCCCATGCCATCCGTCCTCTAAACCAGCGGTTCCCAATCTGTGGTGTGGGTACCACCACTGGTACGTGGCACGTGTTAACCGGGGCCGCCCCGTCCTATCCTGCAGAACCTGCGGCCGCAGCGGGCCCCGCAACCAAAGGGCCGTGCCCCGCTTGCCCCTTGCCTTCACCATGTTTGAAGGGCTGGATGCGGGCAGGGAGCCCCTTCCCAGCTGAGGGAGGGGGGGAGCCCCTGCTCCACTCCTGCCTCCGCCCCAAGAAGGGAACCCGGGTGTCACCAGCACATGCTGCCCCCACCCCGCAGCGCAGCCCACGTGCGCACAGCCCAGCCCCAATGGCTCAGGGGGCCCCAAAGCTATATCTTGCAGGGGGCCCCAAAAATTTGTGGGCCAGCCCTGGCATTAACAGATGTATTATCATTACTTTGTACAACAAACATTGGCTGGTGGTACATCATTTTTAAACCGGCGGTGTTCAATCTGTCAGAGTTTGGGAACCGCTGCTCTAAACTCTACACAAGACGACCATCAAGCCTAGCACAACACAGACCTCCCACCCAAACCTGCCACAGGGAAAGCAGGGGAAGCGCAGCAGCCAGTGTCCTGCTTCTATAAAATGTTGTCAATATACACTTGAGATCCAGGATCAAGGGCCACATCCGCCACTAGAGCGGAAGGTGAAACCCCCCCACCAGTCTGTACCAATCTGACCATGGGGTAATATTCCTTCCTGACCCCAAATCTGGCTTTCAGTCTGATCCTGAGCAGAGGGACAAGACCATCTAGCCAGGAACCTCCAGCTTTCACAGCTCTTTGCAACAGCAAACACGCCCTTATTGTTTTTTTCTGTAGTCAAAAATGAGT